TTCTTCCCCGGCTCTGAACAGCTCCCGGAGCCTGGCTGGGGGAAGAGAGGGAGGAATCAGATGACATGACAAAGTCAGTCATGTCTCTCGATCCTTTCCATGCCGCCCCCTCTCCCCCGGCCTCCGCCTTCCATTTTCATCACTGACAGCCCTTCAAGTATTACAGATATATATAATCTTTTTAATATCACTGACATTTTCCATAATGGAAAAGCATCTCCCGTGTGCTGAGGGGGATTGTGCCTTCCTGCTGCTGGTCCCGCCCCACCGAGTGCAGAGCTGAGATTTCATCGCGCCTTGGGGCTGGAGCTCCCGCCTTGGGTACCAGGGAGAAGGCACCGGGGAAGCTGAGCGCTTCCAGGATCCATCAGCCTGACTTTCCCACCAGGCCGTGCAAGGTCAGAGTGCATCCAATCCCCCTCCCAGCTCCAGCCTGTGAGAACAACACCTCCAGCATCCAAACCGCCTTCCAGGTCAAGCTGGAGAACGCCCCAGCTCGGGCAGTGGGAGGCATTGCCCTTGGTTGCCTAAGATCCAGGCCTTCCTCTGTTCCCACTGCTCCCAGTTCCCCTGCGCTGGACAGGAGAGAAGGCCAGCTGACCCCTCTTCGGGCACCAGCTTTCCGTAAGCGAAGCGAATGGCTCCGTGGGGATGCAACACCCCACGAGCCGCAGGAGAGTGGTACAGAGCGCGTGGGGGGGTGTTGCTAGGTAGCCCACAGCCCTGCTAGCAAGGCTCTAAATCCGATTTCCCTCAGCCCTGGCACCAGCTGGCCGCTCACCCAGACCCCTCTGCCATTGGGAAGCCTCTGGGAATGCGCCGTCACCTTCTGCTTGCAGCATTTTCCTGGAATCCCCCTTTCCTGCCTCTCCTAATGTGTCTTCAGGCCCTGACCCACGTGACGGGGGTGGTATGCAGCTCCCAAGGCCAGGAAGGTCGCTCACCTTGGTTATTTAGCAAACACAACACAACTTATTAACACGAATACAAATAATGCCCACGTTTGGGAGAGGAGAAGGAATATTCTCTTTGACTTGCCGATAGGACTCGGCGTTCCAGGGACGGGAACTCCAAGTTCCTTCCATCCACAGGGCTCGGAACGCAGGGCTGGGCAGCCCTGAGGGTCTCTGCCCCAGCGACTGGACCCAGCGCTCAGCTCACACCAGGGCTGAGTGAGTGGTACATGATTTCAGAGCTGTTCTGTAGAAGCCAGCTCTAATTCCACCACAGTTCCAGTCATATAACTTCCACAAATCAATGGAAAAGGGAAAGAAAAAAAAGGCAGCTGGCTCAGAGCCAGCTCCGGCAGCCAGAGAGCAGAGTATTGCGCTCACCGGCCCAGCACATCCCCTCCTCTGCGCGGCTTGTACTTTGTCCCTCGGGGACATTCGTGTCCAAGGCTGTAAGAGGCACCGGCAATATTTATGCCAAAAAAATAAGACTATTCAGAGCGTTCAGCTTTGCTCTCCTCTGCAGTTTAGGCCACCCACCCGTCCCCGCGCCACCAGGCTCTTCCTGGGGAAGGGAAGGGGGTATCGGCGTCGGACACTTCCGTCGTACGTGACGGGAGGCAAAACTCCCGCCTACCCGTTTTCGTATTCAGGCGTTTTCCTTGATCAGAGGTGCCCGTGGAGCCTGGTTTCCACAGGCCGGACTGAGGCACGGATCTTGTGGATGGGCTTTCCATCTTTCCGGCTAAAGCTACCGAATAAAAGTGCTCCTGCCTCGGAGACAATCACGTTGCCTCTGTAACGTGCAGACTCCCTCTCGTCTGGAAACAGATGGCTTGAGCTGCTTGAGTCGGGCAGATTCGCAGGCTGATAATCATCTCCAGGGAGGCAGGAGCTATTGTCAGAGCCCGAGAGACACACCCCAACTTCAGGCCTTTTTCCTCCTAATTCTCAAAATGCTGCTGAAATTCTCCCTACAGTAATGCTGAGCAGAGACATTCCCTTTGCGGGTTCGTGCCCGCGGAGCCAGAAGAGACTTTCACAGAAGCCAAAGTGCTTCCTTTCACCCTGCTATGAGGCAGGATCTGGAAACACGAAGGGTCTCACCTGGCCAGCAAAAAACAAATAAGCTGCATTTTGCCATGGTAATGCCGTGAGCCAAGGGGAAGAATATATACTCCTCTCCCCAGAGACGGCACACGAGTTAGAAGGAGAAAGCCAAAGACGACAGTTCTGCAGAAGGAACAGTTATTTGACACGACGCGTGTCCCCGAGACGCGTGTCAGCGTGGCTGCCAACCTAAAAGAGCACGTGCCCGAGGCACACGCGCCTGCTGCGCCCGCACAGCCACGTACAGAACCTGTATCGGCAACGCTCAGGGCTGATACGCATCTGCTGCCCAAGAACCCTTGACAGGACAAGGGGTAACGGGTACAAATTGAAAACAGGGAGGTTTAGATTAGAGAGCAGGAAGAAATTCTTCCCAGAGAGGGTGGGGAGGCACTGGGACAGGTTGCCCAGAGAAGCTGTGGATGCCCCATCCCGGGAAGTGTCCAAGGCCAGGCTGGATGAGGCTTGGAGCAACCTGGTCTAGTGGAAGGTGTCCCTGCCCATGGCAGGGGGGGTGGAACTGGATGATCTTTAAGGTCCCTTCCAACCCAAATCGTTCTGTGATTCTATAACCCCAAAGGTATCACAAACCCAAATTAATAATCTACGCTGATGTCATTTCTCTACAGGGCCAAAGCCTCTCCGGGGAATGCCGTCCAGCGGCTTGAGCACTTTACTGACACACGCCAGGTCCAGAGAGACCCTGCCTTGGAAACCTGCTCCGACCCAAGCCCGGCTGCAGAGCGTGAGAGAGACCTGGGACGCTTCCACAGAAAGCTCCATTCCAGCCACGATGCTCAAGGAAACCCAGACAGAGAGCGGCGAGAAGCCCGGACGCACGTCAGCCCTGACGCAGGCTGGGTGGCTCCAACACGAGGCCTAACCTTGCTCACAATATTTATGGCCTGAATTTCACTCTCTTTAATTCAGGAGTGATTGGTCTTGGGAGGAAGCAAGTAAGGCTTGGCTCAGAATGGGGCATGGGTACCTTGGTGGAAAGAGGTGGCAAGGTCAGCACAAGAAGTAAACTCCTGGGCACAAAACCAAGGCAGGGTGGCACACCCCTTGGGACAGTGCTTTTCACCGGGATGCGGAAGGGCTCCGAGGAGCCTGCTGTCAGCAAGGCCCGGGAAAAGGCTGGGCAAGCAGTCAAGAATATGATCAAAACCGGGATGGATTGTCCTGGGTTAGTGTCCTGATGCTTGGGCTCATGAGTACAAGGGACACTGCTCGCCCACCTGCAGGCCAAGCAAGACTGAGAAACAAAGAACAGACGTATTTCATGTTGACTGGCGCTTTTAAATTCTGCCTTAGCAGAAATGCCAGTATTTTCTAGTCTTAACAGTTTCTGAGGCTGTGATATTTCTTGCCTTGTCTCTTCTTGGCAAGCTATCATCTGTAGAAGTAACAGATGATCTAGCAACAGTCTCGCATCACGGCATGTCAGAAAAGAGGCAGCCCAGTATTTGTAATCACCCCATCACTTCAGAAAGAAGAACCCCCATTTAATCTGTGTAAAATAGGGTTATTTATTTATTTGTTTAAAGTACGTCTATTTCTAGATACAAAAGGCTTCACTCTCCTACTTCAGAGCACCTTTTTTCTCTAATTCCTCAAATAAAGAAACCATTTTGCTCACCATTGAATCCAGCAGCCCATAAACCTGCAGCAGAAATGAAAGGGAAGATGGTTGCAGTGAAAACACAACGAAGCGATCCCCATGACGAGACCGCCAGAGAGAGAGAGAGAGGCCTTCTCACGCAGGAGCACGTTAACGTCAGGGCACGCACACATCCACATCAAAGCAGCTGCCTGCTAACAGGCCTTAGCCCTAGTAATAGCTTTTCTGGCTATGAAGTGTGTTTAACGTTATCCAAGACACAATTAATTCTGCTGATCCCTCAAGAGTCCGCAAGCACGCCCAAGACATCCCAGATAGAAATCTGCACGCGGCTATGTGATGGCTGGATTTGTGTTAACAGATTCCAGGCTGGAATACAGGACATCTTACTGGGTATTTCACACTTAACCTTGCTACTGAATCACCGTCAGTTTTCAGAGTTTGACAAAACGCCCATCGCTCTGCCTAAGCTTGAGTGTAAACTTAGAAGCAAAGCACAAAGCCATGAAACAAAGATAAGCTGTGGTCAGACTCACTTCAACATAAAGCTTTTCCTGGTACGTCCCAAGCAAAAGAGGGTCCACCTGCTCCTGAGGAGGTTCTACTCCATCTGTAGTTACAGCTTTCGCGGGTTGTGCTCCCAGTTCATCGCAGGAGGTGAAAGAGGAAGATTTCAGCTTCTTCTCATCTTTCACTTTTAGCTTTCTGCTGCTTGGATGTTCCTGTCCAGGGACAGACAAAGGGAAAAAAAAAAAAAAAGGTGACATCGGACAGAACACCTTTCAGCCTGTTGCAAGGTGCACTTTCCAGAAGCAGCACCTCTTTCCTTGGGCTGGGAATCAGCTCAATCCCAGGGCGCGCAGCCTCAGAACGCATCACACCCTCCCCAGCACTTGGGTTTCAACAGGCGTCCCAACTCATACCTCTTTTTCTCTCCCCGCTGTCTGGGTTGTTCTTTTTTTGCCTTCTTTATCCTTGCCACCAACTGACCTTCTCTCTTCTTTCCCTGTGGTTATTCTATTTTCCTTTCCTCCTTGTACAGATTGCTTTACTTCCGCTACAAAAGAAAGAATTTCCATTACCCAAAAGCAACATTTTCACATCCAGAAAGACAAGCCCACTGCACTCCCACAGTGCATTTTCCTCTTTTTATTGATCTGAGCTGTACTGCACTGAAAACCACCACCTTGAAGAGCCCTGTGTCTCAGGCACATACCAAAGCAAGCCTGTAAGCGAACTGCGAGACAAGACTTCCTGGGTTAGCCTGTGCGAAAACGAGGGCTGCAACGAGCTAAATTAAAAGGCCCATTTGCGTGGTGGTTTTTTTAATGGCACCAAACCGCAGATCACAGTGATTATCACAATCTGCCATTTTTTTCTCACGCATTTTTCTTTGAAAAGCTACGAGGGGGAACTGCCGAAATGACCACATCAGTTGAAATTCAGCACGTTTTCAGGATTTCCAACAGTCCACAGAAACCTGTTGCTGTGCTAAAATTACCATTTACCTGTTTCCTCTGGAACAACATCTGCGTAGGAGTCCTTCTCGGGCAAGCCAAGCAGGGATCTCAGCTTCGCAGCGCGACTCACCAGACCATCGACTGTTTCACGCCACAGCTGCAGACTGACAGAGGTGCCAGGATCAGAGGGGAGACAGCACAGCAGCTGCCCAGGAGCGACGACACCTTACAGCCGAGAGCTGACCTGTCCAACTAAATCAATAAAGTAGCACCCACCACCTAAAAATTTGCGCAGGGGGACGCTAAATTACCTTCCTCATGCCCGAGCCCTCTGAAGCCTCAATGGTTTGCAAATCAGTGGGTTCACACGGACCCATAAATGTTACTGTGAAACTAAACTCCTGCTCGTCAACGTGCTGCACGTTGGTAGATCAGCATCAGCCTGCTCTCTGGGTTTACCAAGATGAACCTGCATCCTTCTAATTTAGGAGCAGCCAGAAGCTCTTGATATGTTTACAGTCTGAACGCCTGAGCAAAGAACTGAGAGGCTGTATGAGGGAGGATAGAGTTATCTGAGTAAAAGGGTACAGAAAATTACCCAAAGGTTTCATAAATATAGACTAGAAAAATCTTGTCAGAAATATTCTTGTATGCTCCCCAAAATTACATGGATTTACTATTCTAAATTTATCTCCAGAGGAAAAAAACCAAAACACAACAGAAAAGGTGTCATTTAGGTCCTAGACAGCTGCTACAATTAAGCTATAAAGCACAAGGAGTGTAAAGATGACTTCTAGACCTCACGTAATTATCTGCACTCTGAATCACGGCGCTTGCAACAGAGCTCGCTAAGGCTGCTGCTGACAGGCTGCACTCACGAGCTTTATCTTGCAGAGGTAACGCACCAGATTTGATGCAGAAGGTCTGACTGAGTTGGCCTCTGTCCAACACACAGCTCCAGCACTGCCGCGTTGAGCTGGGTCAGTGCTGCTTCTCGCTGCTCCTCCCTGGGGATCAACTTTATAGCCTGAAGTGAGAGAAAACACAAGGGCCGTGGTCTTCATTCCCGGTCATCCGGACCCCGAGCTCAACGGAGCACACCGCAGCTCTCATCCTAGTGTAAGCAGGCTGCGCTGGGCACTTAACGCACCCAGCTGTGTCTTCCGACATGGCTGAGGTGCACACAGGACCCGGGATCTGGGAAGCAATCCCAGACGCCCTAGTTTGACCCACAGTAAGCCCCTTTGCAACTTCACAGGTGTAGTTAGTCCCTACGCTGGAGAACAGGGATTCTAGCGAGCCTGCAGGCCCTGGAGTAAAGAGTAGTTATAAAAGCAGCAGAGATTTCCAAGAGACAACTGTGCTGACGGAATCCAAACCTCTCTAGCTTTAATCTGGCGGGGTCTGTACTTTATCCACAGCCTGTCAGGAGTGCCTCCTTAGTGCTCCGATGAATAGGAAGGACTCTCCCAGGAGAGGAGCCCTTAGGGAAGCCACAGGAGGCTGTAGGATTAGCCTGGCCGCCGCATTCAGTCCTGGGATGACAGAAAGCTAATGGGGGAAGAGCTTAAGGTATCTATTACATTGTCTGGATCTCTTTTCTTCTTCACACACAACAGCCCTCAAAGTCTCTCTGGGGAATCTCCCTACAGGAGCACTGAGGGTGTGGGTCAGCAGCACTGAAGTGTTTTTCTGCAACACACGCTGTAAACCGTCTCTAACTCGGAGCAGGTTGGAAGCAGACCTTTGGGTGGGCTCACACTGGGAGAGGCCAGGCTATTTGTAGGACAAGGAAAACACCCTCAAGCTTGTCATAGCACTAGCGGGACCAGGGGCAGCCACCTGCTTAAAGTCCTCGATGGAAAGGTTCCATCCTGAGGGGCCTGGTTCTTCCCCCTCCACGCTCGTCAGTTGACTCGGAGCCTCCTCTAGCGTGTTCTTCCAACCCAGGACCTCTGCCGTGCTTCTCGGAGCAGGGAGAGCCTCCGAGGAGCCCTCCTGGTACTGCGCGTCCTCCGCTGTGTTCCGCTGGTCCGAGGGCACTTTCTCCTCCGAGGCTGGAGGAACAGTCATGTGCTGTCTCCACAGCTCGTGCAGCTGCTTTACCACTCGATGCTGATAATGCAACTGCGATAAAGGGAAAAGGTAAACAGCAAAGTCAGCTGTGCCTCTCCTCTACAAACCTGAGAGTTAAAGCCACCACAGCAGGCTATAGCAGCCTCCAGAAACCCAGGGATGCACCAGCTCCACGGGCCTTCCCTCCCTGCTCTTTGGGTTGCGTAGCCCATCAAATATCACCTCAGGATTCTTCCGGCGGAAGAGCTCTTCCTCCGTGGCATAGGCATCCACAGGAGACCGAGGGCGCTCTGGGGTCCGAATTCGGAGAAGAAGTTCCTTCAGACTCTCTTGAACTGTAGCAGCACCTTCACGAGCAGCCAGGTCACTCTGAGGCACCGCAAGAAGATGTGTGAGTCCCCGACCCGCACACGGACAGACAGACGAATTCACACCCACACCTCTGCGTTCCGTAGGGTCACAAGGAGCAAAACTGCAAACCCCACTGAGCAGAGCAATACAGCTTTGCAAACAAACCCCACAAATCCTCCCCCAAACTGCACTTTTCAAAGCACAGTGTAAATTTCAATTGACACCTTACGTGATGCCACAGCGTACGACACGATTCCACCTGCTCCAAGTAACTAATGGAATTCACTGCCAACAGAAAATTCATTCTCTAAAGGACCAGTGTGAGCAATTCAGGAGACACAACCACGTCTTTAACAACAACATGACAACAGACTGCAGAGTTTTTCCACTGTAGTTAGCAAACCTGCTCAAGTACCTACAGATGTTCTGTAAATAAATAATCATCTTGCTCTCAGCCCTAATTGCAGAGCAATAAAAATACCACGTCATCCATTCCCGTCCTTATCCTCTATTTGCATATGAAGTTCAAAGCTCACGGTTACCTCCAGTTTCTCTCGGAGGTCAGCCAATTTATCCTCATACACAGCAATTCCCCACAGGGTCACCTGCAGCAGAGCTCCTCCTAATAACAGAGGATGTGTCCTGAATTCCCAGGCCTCGCTGAAAATGCCTGCTCTTTCCGACTTGAAAAGAAAGAAAAACTTTCTGGTTTCTCCAGGCAAAATTACACCTGAAACGAGAGAGAAAATGCATTGGTCTGCAAGAAGCCACCTGATTAACCTGACCCTTTTCCAATCCCTTCCCTAATGTCCCTGTGTCCTTCTCCACAGCTCAGCTGGTTTATCACACTCCATCCAGCTATTTTTCTCCTTCCAGATTTACTCCCAGTCACCACGTTACTGAACTGGTGCTATTTCCACCGCTCCTTTCACAGCAAGCTCAATACTCTCTGGCAGATTATACACAGTTTGCCATCAGAAAATGATTCACTTCTCAATATTCCACCCGTTTACATTCAGAGTAGGAGCAACCTCCTTTCCTTTAAGTCCCACGAAAGGGATCTGCCTCGCACACCTCTGGGTGTGAGTCAGCTCTGATGCCCAGGGTGGCTTCCAAAGGACAATCACCCAACAGGCTTGCTCTGCCATGAGTCAGACTCTGCATCTCAGATAACTCCGGAATATGTGCTCTCTGGTCTCTGTGATCAGCAGCTCTCATACCTGGTCTGGTATCACAGTAAAAACACTGACTCGTCTTCCCCTTGGCTCCTCTGGAGGGAATCTGCTGGGAAAGCCTCATCCAGTCATACCAGATGGCAGCTGTGCCATCATTGCTCACCATCAGGGAGCTTTCAGCTTTCTCACCAACCAAGGTCTCAAAGGTGAGCCGGGCAGCAATGCCAATTTCATCCTACAAGGAAGGGGAAAGGACACAGATAAACATTTCTACTGGATGAGACAGGGTTTATCTTGCCTGAAGTCATACCATAAATAAGAGGTTAAGGCTTGGAAGGAGAACTTGCAAGGCAGGTCCAATGAAACGGCCTTTATACAGAGAGCACCTGGGAATCGGAGCTTCACACCACAAAGCGAGCAACGCCTTCTGCTTCCAGAGCTCTCCGGAGCAAACACAGGGATGCTCTCTTATGCCCAGAACAAATCCCCCATTCCCTGGCCTAGGAGTGACACTCATTGTACAGCAGTGACTTGGCAACTCCAGCAGGCTTAGCTTGACTACACAATAAAAGCACACCATTACCCTGCCAGACGGGGTGCAGTTGATCCACCGAGCAGGCTGGCCGCAGAAAACTAAAGATGGACCCAGTATTGCTTCTGGAACAGCATCAGGGTAGCCCATCACGGAGTCACTGCTAAAGGAAACAAAAGCCAGCGTTTTCATGGAGTCAAATTCACTTTCAGAAAGGGGAGAAGCAGGGCTGATTTACAAGACCCTATAAGAAATAATCCCAACTAATGCTTTTGCACATCATCCCTTTAGGGACAGAGCCTTGCGCGTGTGGCAGACCACCAGCTAGTGACTGGCTACCATCAAGGAGGACAGGATGGCCAGAACGTTAAAGAATGATACCTGCCTAAGGAAGGGTGAGGGTATATAACAGAGTAAGGAGAGGAGACCCTCTGGTTGTGCTGTTACAGATGGCCAGGATGGGGAAAAAAGGCAAATTCATGATGGAAACGGAAGGCTGGAAAGAGACAATCAGATGGAAGTAATTTCGGGCAGAATCCCCAGCCTGCCTAATGTAAATTCTAGAGCCATACAGAAGGAAGACTGGAAGAAGGGCCTCAAAAAGCTTTCCACTGATTTTTGCTCCTTAGGCACAAGGCTGCAAGGCACAAACGAACTGTTTGATTCCTAAATCTGGTGACTTTAACATTAGAATAAACCTTTTATTGTGACTCCGCTGCATTCTGGTTAAGGACAGTGAAGGATCACCTTACAGACCAATGGTACATATCCCAAAATCTTTATTTCTGCCATGAAGTAAAACTCACAGGGTCTCAGACTCTGCAGAAGTGGTGGAACGTGGAAAACGCTCTGCCGATACAGATGTGAAAGGCTGCCCTTTGCCAATCACCTCCAGTCCATCCAGATCCTGCCCACACAGAAAAACGACCAACTCACGATTTGTCTTTTTATATAGAAAGGAACTTAAAACACTAGACAAATGCAGCAACTGAATCCAGTGAAGTTCTGGTATCTTGCTCCTACAGTGGCTTCTAGAGCAGGTATCCAATAAATGTTTAAAAGACAGAGGAAGAAATTGATTCTGGGTCTCCCAAAAATCTTACAGGACTGCGTTCCCCACTACAAAAGCTGCATGGATGGGATAAGTCTCTGCCTCACACGTTTCTCATCGCCAGAACCAGGTTTCAGAAAGAAAAAAATCTAAGGTTTGTTCAGTTTAAGGGGGGCTATCTGCCTTCAGGAGAGGATTTTGGATACATGTCTTCTACACGGATGTCAGAAGGTGTCTTCCATCTGCCCTGAGGCAGAATGAAATATCAAAGTCCTACACCAGCATTTGGCAGGGTTTTTTTTTGTTGCCTAGGTAGTTTGGGGTTCTATTCTGAGGCTCCTAGACCACTCCATGCAACACTGAGGGAGGCCAGCCAACTCTTTCATGGGTGTGGCCCTTGGGAAATGTGGGAACTTCCAAGAGAAGTACGGTGGGGCCAAGGTTTAGATTCTTAATGCTTTTTCCAATCCAGCACTTGGCAATTTTATGTTACCCTACAGCATCCGACAAGAAAGGAGAGATGCAAAGAATGTCTTCACTCCTCTAGCCTTACCGGCTTATGAAAATTTAGCTCTTCTAGGATAGATTTTAGCTCTTGTCGTCGATGTTTCAGGAAGAGACTTTTAACCCAGGTTAGATGGAAAGGCATCCTCTTTGGAGGCTTCAGACCTGTGGAAATACCCATACAAAAGCTCGCTGTCACCATACCCACGTGCCTATTAATTTCACTCTCTGCCAAGAGAAGTCCAACAGATGACTGGGAAGTCGCCTGTGCAGTCAGAAGGCACAGCGTGAGCCTCTGTACTGGCAGGAGCCCCCGTTTCTTTCTACTGCTCCCCCCAAACGTGTACCCCAATTCTGTGGAACCACCTCTCTGCGACATTCCCTTACCTGTTTCCATCCGGACAGTGTGGGGCTTCCCCACATGAGTGAGTGGCTCTGGGTGGCCACGTTCTCTCTGAGTCAGCGTCAGCGTCAGGCCGGTGAGTTCATCTCCGATACGCTCGGGCTGGCTCCAGAACTCGCTTCCTCTTCGGTAGCCCTGGGGCGGAAAACAAGGCTCGTGCTGTTTCCACAGGGACTAGAAGCTAAAGAGAAGAAGAGGTCTAACTCTGCTTATATGAACATTTTAAACGTCTATAAATTACCATTTTTGGCAGAGCAAGTCAAAATTTATCAGGCTCCTATCAAAGGCAAGAGAAACTCAGGCTCCTGTCAAAGGCAAGAGAAACTCTTCTATCTAGCGCTACACGAAGGTTGAATGATATAGGTTGAAGGTTGAATTATAGACTGGTTGGAAGGAGTCCAGAGGAGGCCACAGAGATGCTCTGAGGGCTGGAGCCCCTCTGCCATGGGGACAGGCTGAGAGTTGGGGGTGTTCAGCCTGGAGAAGAGAAGGCTCCGGGGAGACTTTATAGCACCTTCCTTGTAGCCTGGGGGGTCTACAAGGAAGCTGGGGGGGACTTTTTACAAGGGCCTGTAATGACAGGACAAGGGGTAACGGGTTTAAATTGAAAGTGGGGAGGTTTAGATTGGATATCAGGAAGAAGTTCTTCACAGAGAGGGTGGGGAGGCACTGGGACAGGTTGCCCAGAGAAGCTGTGGATGCCCCATCCCTGGAAGTGTCCAAGGCCAGGCTGGATGAGGCTTGGAGCAACCTGGTCTAGTGGAAGGTGTCCCTGCCCATGGCAGGGGGTTGGAACTGGATGGTCTTTAAGGTGCCTTCCAACCCAAAACATTCTGTGATTCTATCATATTCAGATAATGCCTCACACGCACGCAAATCCCTTTATAGTGCTATAAATGTAAAAAAAATCATTTAGGATACTCCCATAATCCTCCTGACTTACCCAAACCCCTTTCTCCCCATCAATCACTAAAATTCAAGCCTGCAACTGTCAGATCTTTCTGTTCCCAGAACAGCAGCCGGGGCACGTCCCCATGCCGCTTCCCAGTGACAGTCTTTGGTGATAACCCAGCAGCTCGTTACCAAGCAGTGCACAGCAGCTCGTTAGCAAGGAGCCAACGCACACCACCACTTGGCTCTGACTAGTACAGACGGCACCGTCCGTGGGTTTATATTTAAAGTCACCAAATGCTCTGCTTGCACACTGGGCTGAAGGACTTAGAGTGGCTTTGACAAATATCTAAGGGCAGGTCTTCAGAGATGTTACTCAAGACCAGCGTCTTGGCGCTTTCAGAAGAGCAGAGCAATCAGGACGCAGAGGAAGTGGGGCTCTCACCTTCCCAGGAAACAGGGCAGGGAGACTCCGGTCAATGAGGTCACGTTCTTCCTGGATTTGCCTGTAATCCTCCGAGGTGCTCATCAGCAATTCATTCTCTGGCCTCTGAAGAATTTCTATAAAGAAGGAATTACTGGTGCTGCAGGCACACCCTTTTACCTGCAGTTCACGTGTAACCCCCTTACACTGTGCCCCGCCAAACCCGCTGTCCCTCCCCCAGTCAGGCCCACCAGCTCACCCCCCACAGCCACCAGCAGCGTGGGGAGCTCCGAGAACACGCAACGGCAACAGGATGAACCCCGGTCGGCTACAACCATCTGATGGCACCACGACAAACCAGCTCCCCAACCCGGACACAGAATTTCACAGAACGAGGCCTCAGCTTTTCTCACCTCCTAGATATTTCTCCTGCTTTTTCCTGATTGCCATGTTACGGTGCCAGTTCTGGAGAGCTTTGTGCTCTGCCAGCGGGGTTTGATGAGCCTTTTCCTTCTTCTCTCCTCCATGTTCCTCTTTTAAAGCTGCTGCAGTAACACCTTGACGAGACACCTCAATAAAATCCGCTGTCTGAAGAGAAAGGAAACATTGGGGGCTACAAGGAAGCTGGAGGGGACTTTTTACAAGGGCCTGTAGTGACAGGACAAGGGGTAACAGGTTTAAATTGAAAGTGGGGAGGTTTAGATTGGATATCAGGAAGAAATTCTTCCAGGAGAGGGTGGGGAGGCACTGGGACAGGTTGCCCAGAGAAGCTGTGGATGCCCCAGCCCTGGAAGTGTCCAAGGCCAGGCTGGATGAGGCTTGGAGCAACCTGGTCTAGTGGAAGGTGTCCCTGCCCATGGCAGGGGGGTTGGAACTGGATGGTCTTTAAGGTCCCTTCCAACCCAAACCGTTCTGTGATTCCATGATTAAATTAACCTCTCCATGCACTGCCACTACAGCAAAGATGGGAGAGGGGAGGTGAAAAGAATTCTTCAGCTTGACAGTACTTTTATCTGATGACTCTGAGGGGAACAAAAACAGGGCAGTAGGAACACACTCCGAAACAATGGAAGCATTTATCTGAGTAATTAGACGGGAGCAATGGCATTGCTGCAACATCAGCTCTTCCCCTGCCAGTCTGACGCCATCGGCAGAGGGACATACGGAAGAGGAAGTCTCTGCAATTCTTCCCTGCATGACCTCCTGCACACACAGGAGTTCAAAACCTGCCGGTGCAGTTTCTCTGAAGGCAAGCCCTCCCCGCAGAGGATGACAAGGCTGGGAAAGCCACACCTCAGGCCTGACCTGCTCCTGATAGGTGCCGAAAAGCATCGAAAGGTACTGTAGGCAGCGCACTCCGCCTCTAGAAAACTGCCACACAGCAGCGTTTTCGTAACTTTACAAACCAACCTGAGTGTTTCCTCTCACCGAGGCTTCCATCTTGAACTCCTGGAGACTTCCCAAAATGTCATGGGGGAGAATCTCCTCACAGCCATCAAACAGTCCTGGTCCTACAACACAAAAATCCCAACCCAAGCAATTTCAGAGCCAGGTCAATAATGTCAGGCTTGGCAAAACCAAAAGCCAAAGATGTGAAGTTTAACCCTACCAGAAAAACTCAGTGGTTCCCTGGGTGCCTTTGGGGAAGCAGGATACGCCACCAGGAAATGAGCTGCTGCCTTTGCCTCTTCGGGTTGGTATTTTCGAACGAGGTATTTCCTCCTAACTGGAATTCTTCCAGCATCATGGGGAAGGTGTGGAGCATGGAGCTTCAGAAAATAAACAGTCACAATGCAATTAGGTACACACTGACTCACCTTCATTCCTTCTGAGCCTTCTAGGACAGGCAGAGAAGTCCTATCAGGACAGGCTGTTCCGCCCCTAAGTGGTGCGTTACACGACTGCGGAGATACCGGCTCGGTCACTGTCTTACTCTTCTGGATTCTGCTTCATAACTGGGAAAAAAGCCTGAAAGCACTTTCCCAACAGCTTTCTGCTGTGTCACTTGGTGTCAAATGCCACCACAGTTTGACACAAGTTTTGGAAGGGAAGTGGTAATAGTTACTACACAGCTTATACGTCTTATTAGGCTAGAAATTTGGAAATGTTATTTTGAAAGGGCAGACGTCTTATCTTTCCATCTGAAAAGATTGTGTAAGGATTGATAATCCTTTACTTTTAGCAACGGAGCCTGATTATCTGGCAAGTCATAAAAAGCAGTAGAGACAATTGGAGCAAGAACTGAATGCCAAGTATGAGTTTTGGTTTAAGCAAACGGTCAGGATTCTCTGTTAAACACACAAACCTCTTTATTCAACTCACAAAACCATTTATTAAACACACAAAATACGAGTTTCAGGTAAGGTACCTGTTTCTATGAGTAAAAATACGTACTTTCTCCAGGTCCTCCTCTTTAATTGCAAGCGCCTGGATGTCATCTCCTTGCAGAACACGTGAAACGGGCTCAGGCTCTTCTGCGCTTGTTGAGGAGGAGAGTTCACGAGCCTTTTCCTTCATGTCTGAAAACCAGATAAAGACACCTCCTCCTCAGTCTCCCAAGGAAACCCCATCTTCCTCTTTTAGCCTGATTATTATTATTATTATTATTACTGGGAGAGGACTTTTTACAAGGGCCTGTAGTGATAGGACGAGGGGTAATGGATACAAATTGAAATCAGGGAGGTTTATCAGGAAGAAATTCTTCCCGGAGAGGGTGGTGAAGCACTGGGACAGGTTGCCCAGAGAAGCTGTGGATGCCCCATCCCTGGAAGTGTCCAAGGCCAGGCTGGATGAGGCTTGGAGCAACCTGGTCTAGTGGAAGGTGTCCCTGCCCATGGCAGGGGGGTGGAACTAGATGATCTTTAAGGTCCCTTCCAACCCAAACCGTTCTGTGATTCTATGATTCTATTATTCCTTTCCAGCTGAACTACGCCGGGGGGGCGGCGGGGAAGGGTTTATTAATGTTCCATGTTGAACAATTAAAATCAGCATCTTTTATCATTGGAAAAAAAATCAAACTGAGAAGGTCTGGGAGCAAAGCGGGTCACTGGGTCTCACTCCTCATACTAGACGAGGGACAAGAGACGAGAGAAACACAGCCTGTGCTTCCCAGAGGTGGAAAAAGCAACTCCTGGGGAGTTTCCTACCCCAGCTGGAAGCACAAGCGGAGAGCTTCCCCGCACGGCTGCGCTACGCTCCCCCAGCACAACTCGGGAGACAAAGCCATTGGATTTGCAGAAGCTCCTAAACAGCAAAATAGCTCCGAAACAGCAAAGCCCAGGCCGAGCCAGGCCCAGGGCAGCCCTCCCCGGCGCAGGCCGCAGCGGGCAGCACCACGGGGTATTGTTTCTCCCCATGGCCTTAACCTGCGAGTCCCCCCGGCTCCCTGACACGCGTGGGGAAGGGGC